GGATGATCGATACGCACTCGTGAACTTCGCGTTTTCCCGGCGCGCACGCCACTCACACGATGACCACGCGCACTCCGTGCGCGACACCGTATCGCGGATCTCGATCGATCTCTCGATCGATCAGTTCGGCAGTCGCCGCTGTCTCGGGCTATCGGGAACTCGTCGTCGCGCTTTCCTTTCGCCGAATTCGCCTTCGGGACTCCTTGCTGTTCGATGTCACAACGGGTGGCTTTATGAGCGACTTGTCGCGAACGTGTGTTTTAAAGCGACGTCCACATCGCTCCCGGAACGGCGCTCCAGTCCGCTCGATTTACGAGCGCGCTCGCGTTACACGCACGCTCCTCCGCTCGTTTCGGTCCGTTTCTTCTCTCTCTCTCTCCCGCTTCCTCCTTCTCCCTCCCTCTCGCCCTGCGTCGCGACCCGGGAGGAAGGGAAAAATGCGCGGGTCACGTTCATTCATCCCACGTAGGACTGCTACGTAATTATCTCTCGGAGCGATCGCGACGCTCACTCGCTCGCTCGCTCGCTCGCTCGCGTGCACTCCGCCTTCGCACTCCTAATTGAATTGTCAGCTCGTGCGCACGCGAGCGCACGCGCGCGCACGCCCGCTGTCCGGTGAAAAATCGAGGCTACTTAGATCGTGTCGCGAGATCTTCGCGGTGCTTCCCCGCCACTTCTGAAATTTGCCATTCGAATTAATGTTCTCGCGTCACGCCACTTCACTTCACGCACACCTTGTCACACACTTATCCTTCCTTTCTCTCTCTCTCCCTCTCTCTCTTTCTCTCTCTTTCTCTCGTTGTATAGAGAATTATAGAATTAGAAAGAAAGAAGTATGACGTATGAAGTATAAAATAAAGTGCGTTAGTAAATATTTATATGAGCGTATGTCAGACAATTTTCATATGCATATTATTATTTTAGATATTTCATTTCTTTGAATTTAATTTATTTCGACAGTATTGTACTCTATTTTACATCACATCATATTACATTTATACGGAGGGGTTTATGCCATGGATTGAATAAATACATCTCTCTTCTTCCTCCTCGTTTACGCTACTTCGATCTTTTGGCACGTACAAAGTGGAATACAGCTCGTGAAAATTGCACACTCTCCAGAGGCGTTTCGACTCCTCGAAACCGTGAGAATTGCAGTTTCGAAAAATAGCGACGGGCACGTGAGACACTAGGCGCGCATTAACATCAAGGTTACTCCGCGTTACGTCGCGCTTCAACTTGATTTATTTCAATGAAAAACTCGCGCACGTCACACTGCAATTAATCAGACAAGATAATGCGTTATGCACATTGCGTGCTGACACACGCTACGTGAATTCTGTAACGCGCGCATAGCAACATTGATTCTCCTCTCCGCAGACAGGACCTATGTAGTCTCTGCTCTCTCACAAAAAAGAAAACAAACAAACACTGCGCACTTCTCCTACAACCGCCAGCCTGCAAATTCCTCACGGGTCTTGCGCAGCGCGAGAACTCGCGAAAACTTGCGAGCTTAATTGTGCAAATGCAAATGCGCGCTTAATCATCGCGACCGCGCGCGCGTGCACGTGCATATATTGTTCCATTCGATTGAAAAGTCAAGATGATATCATAGCGCTCGGCTTCTGCATCGAGAGAAACGGTATCTAAAAAATAGCAAACGGAGAACACAGAATGGTTGGCCCACACATAATTCTAACTGTGTCACCCAGATTCAATAATGAAATACAGAACAACTAATTATGTGGTTGCTGTAGCCACAGAGCAATTGCTGAGCTGCATTGACGACATTTCATTGCTTCCGCTAGAGTGTATCCATGGTAAATGTCACTGCAATCGTATTCTGGTAGCTATAACAAGATCATGCGCAAATACGCATTCATGTAGTTGATATATCAAAATAACTGAATCATATCAACCATAGATATTCAACCAGTATACAAAGATAATCAGGGTGGTGTATTGCTCGCAACTGTATTGCTCGCAATTAAATATTTCCGGTCACGTGCATCATATCTTTTTCTTTCCGTGTTAATATTTATTTAGTAGGTGTACTAATAACATATTTATATATACTATATATAATATATACACTGAGAGAAAAATTATATTAAAATCAAGAAATATTTCCTTGATGAATGCCACTAACATATTTATTTAAATTTACATTCTCTTTATTTAAACTAAGTATTGTTTATTTAAATCAGGTAAACAATATTAGGTTTAAATAAAGAGAATGTAAATTTAAGTAAATATATTAATGGCACCCATCAAAGAAATATTTGTTGATTTTAATATAATTTTTCTCTCAGTGTATACAAAATAGAATATTTGTCTACATGTTTCCTATTTAAACCCTTTGACCGATCTGAACGTAATTTTATATAGTTATTCTCCAGGACACTGTGGAAAATATAGGTTACATGAAACATGTAGTCCTCTCCCTTTAATTTAATTTCCTTAACACTTTGTGTTAATAATTTAAGATTAGATATTCTAGATACAAGAAGCGCGTAGGGCAACGTTGAGTAGTTGAAGCTGGTATAAAATATTTTATACCAGCTTATTTTATTTTTCAAACAAGAGAGTATAATTTTCTTGAAACTTTAAGATCTTAGCTTTTCATGGAAACAATTGTTTACGCCATTTGGATAAATTAATTCAAGTATATATGTTGTTAGTACTCTCCAAATAAATATGTACTACTTTTGAGATATTTTTCTCTCAGTGTGGGTGTGTATATATATGTGTGTGTGCGCGCGCGCGTGCGCATACGCGATATACTACATGGTGAGCGCGACTGCTTGTTATTCGCGTCACGTTCCTCCTCTCTTTTCTGTCTTTTTATTTACTTCTTCTTTTTTATCTGATACTTCCCGCTTCTAACGCAACGTAACAACGTCCGTCCGACCCGAATCGCGCCGCACCGCGCGCGAGTAACGCGAGTCAATCGACGCCGATCGAATTAATTTCGAGGATAAACGAGGTGTCCCCTCGTTCACACGCACGCACGCACGCACGCACGCGAGATCCCGTACCAGAGATGCGACGTAGTCAAGCGCGACTTCGCCGATTTCACGTGTTTCCCAACGCTGGAACGCGCTCTCGATTTTGTTGCAGGTTTCACTTGATTCAACCTATAAATTAATTTAATTACGAATAAGCGGGACGGTGTGCCGGATGCGGAACGCAGTTTCACCGAATCTTCCGCACTGCGAGACCCGTTGACCAGTTTTAAGCGTCTCCCCGCGGTTGGGCGATTTTTGAAGGGTCGACACGATATCGGCTCATTATCGGCCGACGTGTTGACGCGCGAAATGTCGCGGTTTCATCGAACACGGCAGATGGCAAGCGATTATATATTATTGGATGGAAGTTATTATCATAATCGCATATATTTATTCGCAATTACGCGGACAGGGATCGCGCTTGATTTTACCTCGCGTTTTCATTAATCGAACGCTCTCCTGGCGCAGTCGAGACAATTATTCCAAAATGTTGTCGGCTGACCTTTCGGGGCACCCTCACAGCGTGCACCTGTGCCAATTTCTCGTTCCCGTCCTTCTTCCCGCATTCTACAGAAATTCCATGATATACATATTCGAAAAGGTCAGAGGTGTGTTCTAAAATCGCGTGTTGAGGGACTAAATATACTCGCGAGGACGACACAAGTAGGAAAGAGCAAGAATGAGAAAGAGAGAGTCCCGGGGAACCTTCCACCTCGACGTCGTCAAGTCACTGTCGTCGTGGAATTTCTCTATGATCGAACAAAAAGCCGTTAACGCGCCATCGTCCTGACGCCGGGATCGAGAAGTAGCTTAATTATTCGCGCCAAGCTCGCAACGGAGGCGGCGGCGCACGCGCAATATCGCGGGCGGAATTGCCGCGATGCGGAATGCGCTCTTTCCCGTCGCGCGAATGCAAATTGCGCTGCTGCAAAGTCAATACCGGCGAACATTCCTCGAACGCGTCTACTACCACGTTGGCTCTCGGGATAAGTAAAATCGCGGAATCCCGTGAATTCGTTTCGCGGGTCGCCGAAAGTGATACGCGATTCGCAGCGCTCGAAGCGCGGGAGAGCATTTCTCTCGATCGATGGTCTGATTCGCGCGTTCTCGCGCTTAATCGCAGAGTCGCGCCGTGAATCTCAAGATCACATTTGCGTGGATTGTTTACGCATCGTTTGCGTAATGTATTTTTTTTTCGTGTAGATAATAAAAGTTTCAAAAATACACATATTTTTATTATTGAGGAAAAAATCCTTTCCAATGAGAAAATATGTATTTTCCTAAAATCGTTCTTTTTCACGGAAACGATTGTTTATTCTATTAAAGCGAAAAATAATTTAGAGGTTCAAGAGTAAATATATTGTTAGTATCTGTTCCCTCAATATGTTTTATTTTCCAGCTATTTTTTTCTCAGTGTACACGTTTGCGCGCAAATATCCAACCCTGCTTGATTGTTAATCAACTACCAACTGCGTTTTTCGAATTTCCAGGCTCGTTTTCGCGGTATTCTCCCGATTTAGCCGGCCGTTTTCGATTCAGTTTACACAATTGACTTGTTTCGCGACGTCGAAATTGGACGGTACTCTTTTTAATTGCGTCATCGCCGAGGACACAATGGAACAGTGCGAGAGA